TTGGAAGAGGCTTCTGTCACAGCTACGTTGGTGACCCACGGGTGGTTGCTTCTGAAGTGAAGGATGAACAAAGAGATAGTTAAGAGTTCACAAGCGGTCAATCTCGCAGAAGTCGGCACTAATTATCAGTGAACAGGCAGTTCGTGCACAGATATAATACCAGGTAAGGGTCAAGGCTGAAGCAGTCAAGGTTAACGGGACGAACCACAACATTACTCTGACAATGGAACAGAGAAGTTTCCTAAACAGCAGTCTAAATACACTTCGGTTCATGAACTCGTCCCTCTTTCTTCGTCTTCTTCGGGGGATGATGAAAACGATTAGGTAGCTGGACCTCGAATCTTCACGCATATTAATTATATTTATCTATAACACCAGAAAGTCCGTCGTAAATCTCCTGGGGGCTGTCAGCCGTCTTCTAGCTTAACTTGGAGTGGGAGTCGCGGACAGGCAGTAGGAAACCATGAGACGTCAGAAAATGAAACCAAAGGACCAACTGTCACGGCATGAAACACCTGGAATGTCGGAGAAACTGGAAGAATTCTGAAGACTCGTGGCAGTGGTTCAGAGAAATGACGCCAATTTCTCAGATTGTGACTCATTTGACGCGACCCAGCTACACATTCAAACTTTATGGGGCCTAAATTTGCTTGAGAGGCGACAATCGCATGGACCGCGAGTTGCGCGAGTCGTAGTTTACGGATCCCCAGTCTATCAGGAATTGTAATGACCTGCCTAACCAATATTGAGTGCCGAGGCTCAGTTTGGCAACAGCCATTCGCCACTGGGTGAGCGCACAGACGAGCACGTGTTCTAATGCCAGCACCAGCGAACCAGATGGTCAAGCGACCATCACGTCCATGTCCAGCACGGGTGACGAAAGTTCAGCAGGCCACGACTTGCACGCCGGCCATCAAGCAATCAGCACAGAAGCGGGCAGCTATCCTCCATAAGGGGAGCCGTTATTTGTCATAGGTATATAGTAACATGCGACTGTACCCTATAAATACTACAAATATCTGTATATGAACTGCTCACTTCCACCATTGGCTCTGATGATGGATCCACGAGGGAATCCGGAACGTAAGGTCAACAAAATTTCTCATGCCAGCGACCGCATCTGCGTCTTCTGAATACCGGAACATGTTTTGTTGAGGGAATTTGTTGATAATATTTAATATCCCACAGTCAGGAAACGTTTATTGTGAAGACAGAGCGAACTGCTGACCCAGTTAATGCAAATTTAGCGCTCTATCTACTAAGATAGGAAGCAGATTTGTCTGTGGTGTGAATTAAGTTAAATAGCTTTCTCTACGATCATAAAGCAGAGTCCATATCTGCGATTGTGAGACAAACTTATCCTGTGCCGGAGGAAGATAATTACATTTTACGAGTCAACATGTTTCTCGTAGTCAGTGCTATAAAACATCGCTTTTTTAGAGACTGTGAACTGTACCACGGCAATGTCGCGCTGAAGCTTATTTTGTGCTTCCGGTAGCAGTAATTTCTATAAATTCAGAAAGTGTGTCTAGCATAACTTCTTTGCATCCTCACTTCCTTTTATTTTATCTGACAACGGGCTGGTGTCACCAGTTCGAAATTCCACAAGAAAAACTGGATTTTTCTGAAGAACCTCTTTTTTTCTTTGTATCGCTCTGATCACTCCCCTCTGATATATCGTGTACGTTATTTTAAAAAACAATGAAAAACCTGATGAATTCATCACCATTTGAAATGTGTTAGAAGATAATTTAATGGAAGTTAACAAAAATTTTTGCAAATAAACTTTTAAATCGTACAAAGAAGAAGAGAGATTATTGTACCCATATATTTAAGCCGCTTTAGCAGTATAGAAAAAGGGCACGACGAACGTTGCTTAGTGGTGTGAAAGTAAGTTAAAACAAGATAACACAAACCAACTGATTTGAAAGAAAGGAAGGGTATTGCAATTGCATACAGTGAACGCCAATCATATAAAAGAGATTGGCAGCGTTTCGCACTTCGACGGATACGTGTAACAGTAGCATGTCTGTCGCTACTATTTATTGACGACGTGGACAGTACACTGGATGAATTCTAGACTTGAGAACATTTGTCATTCAACCTTAGCAAAGTTAATTTATGGATATATTTACCATCAGTGACCACCATGCAGGTAGAAGATAATGTTACGCAGATATAAATGTGAATCAGCTCAACAGTATTTTCGAATGGGATGCCTGAATCGCAAGTATGACAATTGCCTTCATGCAGTACGCTAAGCAGATTCGTTTAAAGCGCAGACTTTATGTGGGAGGTGTTTTGAATCTCAGTTGAGGAATTACCTCCTCGATGCGGCACGTACGTTTATTCACCCTTGCGCAACCACGTACCCATAGGGTAATTCGATTGACGCTTCAGGCGGCTAGTACTTTTGTTACTAATTGGCTTACGCGGGACAAGGTTAACGTCAGTAGCGAAAGCTTCAGTTTAGCTTTAAATTAGTTGACACAGGCTCTTCTGATAAAAGCTTCTTAGATTAACCCTAAAGTCTAATAAGCAGTAATGCCGGATGTAGCGGAACGGGATATACCACTAGAATATCTCCATGTTGGCAAGGTGAAAAAGGAAGCGGCGCTTGATAAAGCTCTCGACAAAGCCGTCAAAAGCGCTAGGAATGGGAAGGCTGCTAAAAAACCCATAGCAATTAAAGCTTTGCCAACTTCAGCCCAGTTTACCTCCACTGGAAAGAAGAAACCACCAATTGAACAGATTGACCTTGCGCAGGTCAAAAAAATACAAAGGTCGAGCTTGAACGGGAAGGTTGTCGTCGCGGCAGTCTCTGAAGACAAAAAAACATCCTATAGGCTTGTTGCTATGCGTTTTACGTCACCGGAAGCCTTTGAAAAGGGCCTTCAAGCCCTTAAACCGGAAACGCTGACCGCTCCTTCCGCATTACCTTCACCAACGCGGGGTGGAGATTCAAATCGACAGCAGAGCCCCATTTCGAACGTAAAGCAGCAGTTTAGGCCTGTCAGTCGGCAGATGAGTCCTGAACGTTCTTCAAAAAGACATAACGATACGACTACTGGCATTGGTAGGAAAACGCCCGCACGTGCTAGAATGGCTAGCATTTCCTCGACCACCCGCTCTCCTCTTTCATTAACACATAGAGGCACCTCTATGGGTGGATATCATAGACGCCCGGAGTCTACCAAGAGCTCCCGCAATGATGACTACAGAAAGTGGCCGAGCGCAGTCAACATGGGTCACACAAAAACCACCTACATTAGCACTGATTTTATCTTTAGCCCCTCTGGTGAACTACCCACAGAGGAGATGTTACCGCCTGTTCCGAGGAGCTATGCAATTACCTACGTCGCCTCCCACCAAACTCCAGCAGGCTACACTCCAGATTCTTTACTTACTTCAACACCCAGTGCTCCTCCCTCTTTGATCGAGCAACAACGTGTGGAACAGTCCCCGTTTGGGAATACTTCTACTGTTAGCAGTTATAATAACCAGTATACCAATATGCAAGATGTACAGCATCTTCAGAAGAAACGTCAATTACCTTCAGACAACAATAGCTTTCATCGCAAATTGTCCGTTGAAAGCCGCGGAAGTCATAATCAATCCGAAGACCTATCCAATCGCATCAGTGGCGCTGAATATAACAGTAAGAGCTGGCGACAGATACCACCTGACAAGGCGCCTCGCCCTCGTGTCCCACATGCCAATAGTATTAACAGCAGCCGTACTTTATCGGACGGGTCGCTCGGGACCTGCCGAATTATATATCCGTCCAAAACATCAGCCAAAAGCATAAGACGGTCTCGCTCGCATAACAGACGGCCCTCTGTTCATCGAATAGAATTAGTTGACGAGGAGGACATCCGTGAGTCTGGTGCGGCCAAGAACTATTCCTGCAAGTCCGAGGGACGAAGAAATCGCTCATCCTCGAGAAGGCGATGGATCAAACAACCCATTTCTTCGTCCTCCTGCTCTGCCTGTGGCTCAAGCATTTGGCAGTGCAGACGACGTTCTGGTTCCTTTGCTTCCGATGCCACAAGCACGGACAGGTTTGAATACATGGAGGCAGACTGTCCTCGAGGAATAATCAAACTTTATTATCGACCCTCACAAAGTGTCCATTAGTAGTAGGCACACCAATGCCTGCAGTATTTGCCCTTGTAAGCAACAGTGATAACTTCCTGTAGCCACCGTTCCATAAGAAGTGCGGATTTTCTTTTTGTGAAGAAACACTAGTGTGAACGATTATGTCTTTTCATCTGAGACACTTGTAAGCCCTTTCGGTTCGGAAATAAACAGTGACTGCCAGCTGCGTTGCGAGGTAAGATTGCAATGCTTTTAACTGGTGTACGAATTTTTCGTGTTAGTTCTATAAAACAGGTATTTGTACAAGAGATGAGGCTTGAAATGTCTGGAAATAAATATGAATCCTGCTCCATAATGTCCTCTAGTTCAATTAAAACTGGGAACCAAACTATTCTTTTACTCCGTGCTGAAGGTAGAAGCAGAACAACCATATCCAAGCAAAAATAAACAGATAATGTTCTTTAGGTAAAGTCAGAATTAGGGATAAAGTTTAAGACTAATGTTTAGGTTAGGTTCAGGATGCGGGAATAAATGCTTATACTGGAAGCTTTTGCAATTTCATCTGCATAATGGGAGTTCTATTGCCGTTTGTGCTCGCCCTATGTATTAGACTCCCTTCCCCTAAAACAATTTGCTGTCATTATTCTAAAATTAATTTGTTCTGTTCACATGAATTACTACGAACTCCTGGTACGATGCAGGATGACCTCTTTAGTGTAGATAGGTCCTAGATCGACTCAAGAAGTAGAAGTTGGATAGTTGGAACAGTGCACTGCTAAAATATAATGGAGAAACTAAATGATAAGGCAAATTGTCAGTCATCTTGGTGAGAAGATATACCACGATCTCGATCATATATTTGAAGGTACAGTTTTTTGCACCAGCCGTTCAAATATACCAGATAAAACGGACATAGGACTTCAGACTCCGCACATAGTAAAGAAGGGCTTGTAAGCAACCACATAACAACGTCAAATCACAATACCTATCAATTTGACTTAATAATGAAAACCTTGGCGGCCTTTGCGGAATTCGTATACACACCCTCAAGCAAAGCGGCCGAGTTTTTCACAATTGGGTCAAATGAATTATTCAATTCTGCCATCACTCATATTGATGGGCAGACATGCCTTACCGAAGAAGTCAAAGGAGACTGAGACGACCATTTCTGGCTTCTTAGCCATCAGTAGACAGCTATACAAACCTCAGGGATAACGGCGCTCGAGGCTCGAACCCGCGACCTTACTAGATAGAAGTCCAACACTCTAACTACTCTTCAGTAAGCGGAGATGTCTTTATCGAAAGTGACGTGTATTGCTTGCGTTACGTATAGACTGTCTGAGAGAATTTGGATCGCAGGTTAGTTTTAGTGAAATGTGTAACTGACGGGTGAACGGGTTGCACATTGACGGAACCGTGAGAATACATAAGCAGTTGATTTTTGCGAGACAGTACACGCCGAAAGCATAGATTGCTTCAGAGCATTTACATTCTTGCCAATAAAAGCGTACGCGGGCAGAATTCACAGCTATGAACCCTTCCCGCGTAGCAGGCGTTAGAACACGTTGTTGAGTTTTTGTTTTTCTGAACTTAAGTTACCGGCTCTACGTTATCAGTAGAAAAGTGAATTGGTGCGAAATTAAACGAGGTAGTAAGAAACGAATACCGGCAAATGTCCAACTAAGATAGGTGGGGATGAGATAATTAGAAAAGGGCACCCTATACGAATTCGGAGTTTCGATTTTTCCACAGAAAAATGTTTATGACTGCGCGACAGGTCTAAATCAAAACCTACCTGTCTTGGCAAGCCATATTGACATTCAATCACCCGTGTTCCAAAATCTGCTTGCATTTTAGCAATAACGACTTTTAAGCTATCGGTAGCCCACAAACGTTTTTCTAATAGCCGTTACTGGTGAACAACACCACGCTTTGGATCAACATTTAAGGGTACTTTACCCGTTGGAGCAATTACAACCAAATATAGGAGTTATCTTACTTGTTTCTTCTATTTCTGCTTCCTCTTCGCCGGCCGACGTGGAAATATGGCTGGATCTTGACACTTAACGCGCAATCGTACACTTCCAACTGTTTATTTTACAAACCTCGAAAATTTTGTGCAAGCAGCAGCCATTATTCTAAACGAAATAAAGCGGTCAACGTTAGACACAAGACGACACTGGCTTGGACTCTGATCGCTCCTCTCCCGGCCCTGGATTGGAGGCAATATTTCATCGCAGATAGGATCTAACATTTCAAGCGAAAGACCAGACTAATTCTCACGAACCAGAAGCCAAGCCAGACAATGCCTTGGCCAAAAGGTTAAGGGATCCCGTATAGAAAACTCCGGAGGAGACGTTCATTATTCTGTCAGCACAAAACCAATTGAGCATCCCTGCCAACACATCTGCAAAATGAACGGCTGCCTCAAGGTATGTGATACACTGACTGCATATGTGAACGGAAATAATTCCTTGAGTCCACCATGTCAATCTATCGGGCAAAAAAGGAATAGCAAAAATTAAAATAATGTCAAACCAAATAAAAAAATCCTCAACTTGCTTTATGCTATCGGCAGATGCACTGTGGTTCTTTTAATAGTAGAATATTGGAGAAAGTTTAAAAGTCCCAGGACGATTTTTAACTCAAGTCGAAACTTGATTGATCTTCTGAGGGAGCAAATGTTCAGCTAAACGCAATCCGCAAGACTCATTTGCTGTGAGACTGCTGGTGGAGCTCGAGAATGAACCCCAGTGCAGACGGGACCACTGAATTCCGTAAAAGAGCATTGCGCGTTCATTCGCCAGACTCTATGCCGCTATGCGTCCGGAGTCATTTATGCGTTTGATACCTTAAAAACATCGTTACGATTAGCAACTCTGACCGTGTTGATAGCATAGGATGGCCGGCATTCGTCCAATGAACGTTTTAATTAAAATGGAGGCAGAAGAAAATCACCTTTAGATGCTTAAATTTGTAAATGCACAATGGGAGATTTTCACAGAAGCTCACAATTTCAAAAAGTAATGAATATGCAATGAAACTACTGGTCATCAAATAGAAAATGTGATATTGCAACCGGGCATTAATTCATGGGAACATTTTGCAGTGGGGTCCGATTCAAAATGGCTAACCAAATTAGGTTAGCGACTCTCACCCGTTCGCACAGATCTATCAGTGCCAATGAAATTTAGCTAGTCTCTTTTTGGATGCTTAGTAGTCAATTTTTCAACAACACACTGACAAGAGGGTAACATAACTTCCAGTAAGACATCTTAACCAATTCTTGAAATACCGGTGGTAAAGTTGGCCCAAACTAGGGCATAGCTTGAACTCTGCGGGTCCGAAGACCCTTCGCCACAAAGGAACAGAAAAACTCGTTCCCGTGTTTTGGCTCACGAACATCAATTCGATTTACCGGCTTGGTGACGTCTCATCTGTTTATCACTTCTGCGTGGAGCAAGTAAACTGAAAACAGAAACAACGGGCATTAAGAAAAACAAGGAGAACGTGAAAGGTTTACATTCGCAAATACTACCTACGAACGGGAGTGCAAGCTGACGAACATCCTTATGCACATACCTACTAGTTGGACCAGACATCAAGACGGACGGTCGAACCGGACCAGCATTTGAATAATACAGATCTTCGGTACACTTTTATCACCGATCAAAAACTATAGGACCAACTGTTCGAATAAAGTATCCATTAATAAAGAGAAGTCAACGAGCTTATAAGCATCGTTAACAGATTAGTACGTCCCTAGCTATATACCCGAAACTTTACTGGGAAAAAAAGCTGAAGCCCTCCACCGTGCATATGTATGTCCACATGAGTAACCAGACAAAGCCTGATTTGAGAAGAAACCGCTATTGCTAACGGCCACATACCAGAGGAATTTTATGATCAAAATATAATCGGTAGAGCCAGGAAACGGTACTGTATACATTTTCACACTGCATCTAAATGCTAGGGTTAAGTTTACAAACTGTCAACACAGTCGCCGCCGGCTGATCCTGGTTGATAGGTCCACGCTGGTGCCTGTGAAGGCCTGTCAGTCAGTTCACTTTCAGTTGTACTTAGAAATAAAAATTTTAATACATAATACAGTATTAGAAAATAGCTGTAAAATGAGTGCCGAGTGTTAACGAAGTTTCAAATTCGTGAAGGGTTTAAAATAATTAAACCAAATTTAACCCGGCAAGATCTACTACATAACGTGTAGAAAACGTCAGTAATTTATTCTTTTTATGTATGAGCAATTATTCTTGAATGCCCCTTTCATAATTTTTCTGAATTCTATCCAAATGAAATAGGCCAATGACTAACTAAACTGTTGACGAGTGAATGCTCTCCAAAGAACTGCATCATAATATTAGAAATGCGAACTTTTGGCCGGCACTGGCTGACGTTGTCTAAAATACAATATGGCAAGTCCTGCATGCAACTTTCATGACGAAATTTAACTTGGTAGTTAAGCATATATTCGGATGGGTTACTTTGATCAGCTGAGTGGATTTAATAGTTAGAAAACGTCCCGCTTATTTAAAATTACGAAGTGAAATAGACACTTATTTTGTTAAATCATGAGTAATTTTATACCGAGCAAATTTCCTATACTATTAGGTATGGCAGAACAAGACGTTTAATTAATATGCATTGCACCATGGAAAAATTCCAGAATCAGTAAAAAACGGAATAATTATCCATTCAAGAAGTGGGAAAGTTTGTCCAGAGTTGCTCAAATGAGAGTGAAGCCAAATTTGAGGAATCGCATTTATTTTCAGAGAAAAAGCAACAATTTAAGTTCTAAAAATTATGATTAGCTAACCTGTGAAGTTTCTTTGCACAAAACGCAGTAACAAAAGGTTTTCATCGCTGTTTGTTTAACCACACGGCTCACCTTGCCGAATAAGCAAAGCGTCCGCATATGTTGCCGCGAAGGTAATGTGAAGAAGGCTTTTCTTAATGTGGGTCATGTTTAAATATACGCATTTGTAAACTATAATTTTCGCTTATGCGTTATTTAGAAACGGAAC